ATTCTATTTACCGCCAGAAGGCAGGAAACCGCCCAACCCCATCCCAGCTCTCTGATTGGCTGAGAGAGTTCAATCATCTTCTGGCTAAATGGAAGTACACACCCACACATATGATACATCAAATTGATTGTCTTGGTCTAATTAATCCATCCATCCCTCCATCCATCCATCCATCCATTCATCCATCCAATAAACCATCTAACATCCATCCATCCATCATTTTATCCATCCAACCATTCATCCATCCATTACACAATCTGAACATATGTTAATCTATCAGTTTCAGACATCAGCAAATGTTTCTAAAAGTCACCGTTCAGCTAATTGTGAAAATGTTATTAATTAAACTATTCTTACTCAAATGCCAGGTGTGTAAACATCTCAACTGTCTAGTTTTTAAACAATGTTCAAATATTTCAGTTTTTGGTTTGCTGTTCAGCATTTTTTCGCCATTCTTCACCTACATTATGAGCTTCATTACAGTTTTTGGTGATTTTTGCTTCTAAATCTTTAAATACATTCAGCTCATTTTGACAGTTTAGCTTAGTTTCAGCTTCACTTCAGCTATTCAGCAGTTTCAGCAATCAGTTTCTGAATTCGGCATATGCTGCTCATTTCACAGTTCAGCTAAATGTAAAAATTAAACTGTTAAACTAGTCCTACTCAAATAACAAGTGTTTAGACATTTTTTCTGTCCAGTTTTTCAAATAATGTTCAGATTTCAGTTTTCTGCTGTTTAGGATTTTTTTTTTCTCCGTTCTTAAATTTTTGTGCTTTATTCACTTTTTGGTGCTTTTTGCTTCTAAATCTTTCAAAATAGTCATCTCATTTTGACAGTTTTGCTTACTTTCAGCTTCAGTTCAGCCATTACGCTGATTCAGCCAACAGTTTAAGCTATCCAGCATTCAAACAGCATTTCTGCAAGAAATGCAATTTATCTAGTTCTGCCTGCATCCTCCTTATAAAGCCATCCCGCTGATGAGCTGACAAGGATCAGCTGTCGCTCCCTCTCCTGAAACCAAAAACACTCAGAGATGGTGAATGATGAGAAGAGTACTCACCCCGGCTCATGACAGTACCCCCCCCCCCCCCCCCCCCCCCCTCAATTCTCTGTCTCCTACATCGTATCTGCTCTCTGCCAGGGTCAGACAATATGAGAAGAAGGCGCACGGGTGAAGTCTCTGATCCTTCTCAGACACCTGAGACAGAACTGCTCCCACTCTGGTGTCTGAGGCATACACCTCCAGGGTGAATTGACGCTGCAGGTCAGGACAGTGCAGGATGGAGGCATTGGTGAACTTCCGCTTCAGTGTCTGAAAGGCAGATTTGGCTCTTGGAGACCACTCGAAAGGTTTGTTGATGGAAGTAAGGCTGGTTAAAGGGGCTGCCGTCTAACTGTAGTTACGGATGAACCTACAATAAAAATTTGCAAATCATATATCTCTGTAGTTGCTTTCTTGTAGATGGTGTGGGCCACTCAGTGACTGCCTGGACCTTTTCTGGGTCTGTCTTCAACCGCCCGCTCTCTATGATGATGCCCAAGAACTTGACCGTGGGGACATGGAACTCGCACTTCTCGGCTTTTACGTAAAGTCTGTTTTCCAGCAAGCGTTGTAACACAGCTCTCACGTGCTGGGTGTGCTGTTTCAGGTCTTTAGAAAAAATCAGAATATCATCCAAGTACACCGTAACAAACCTGTTGAGGAAATCTCCCAGCACAGTCAACCCAAACGGCATTACCAAATATTCAAAATGGCCCAGGGGTGTCTTGAATACCGTCTTCCACTCATCTCCTTCTCTTATCTTGACCAGGTCGTAGGCATTTCTGAGATACAGTCGACTAAAAATGGAAGCGTCCTGGACTGGCTCAAAGGTAGAAGAGAGTAAAGGCAGAGGGTACTTGTTACGAACAGTTATTTGATTCAAACCTCGATAGTCAATGCAAGGCCTGAGAGTTGCTTCTTTCTTAGGTACAAAGAAGAACCCTGCACCCAGAGGAGATGATGATGGATGGATGGTGCCTGCCGCTAGACAGTCTTGTATGTAGTGTTCCATGCTTTCTCTTTCTGGTTTTGATAGGTGGTAAAGACGACTAGATGGCAGAGGGGCTCCAGGCAGTAGATTAATGGCACAGTCAAAGGACCTGTGAGGAGGCAAGGAGGACGTGCGGTCCTTACTAAATACCTGTTTAAGGTCATGGTATACCTGGGGAACAGCAGACAGGTCAATATTCTCCAGAGAAGGTGGAGAAGGCTCATGTGTGGAGGGTGTGGCAGATTTTAAGCAGAGTTGGGAACTCTCCGGACTCCATCCAAGGATTTTGTTCTCCTTCCAGTCCGGAATGGGATTGTGGTGGACCAACCAGGAATGTCCCAGAACCAGTAGCGACTGAGGAGATGGGAACAAATAGAAAGTTAACAGCTTGGTTTGGTTACCTGAGACCAAAAGACGGAGGGGAACAGTCTGGTGGGTGATGGTAGAAAGGTTACGGTTGTCCAGCGAGGAGACTGAAAGAGGGGTGGTCAACCTGTTGGTGGGTGTCTTCCATTCAGCCACCAGTTGAGGATCCAGCAAGGACTGTTCACACCCCGAGTCCAAAAGGGCCTCAAGAGGAATCTGCCTAGAGTTCACAGTTAGGGAACACGGAAAAGAGCACCGAGAACTAATAGAATCAGAATTACCGCCCACCAGTAGTCCCAGCTTTACCGGCGGGCTTTTCCCTTTTAACAGCACTGGGCAATTATTAACAAAATGTCCAGAGATGCCACAGTATAAGCAAAGACCTGACCTTAGACGGTGCTCTCTCTCCTCCGGAGAGAGGCGAGTCCTTCCCATCTGCATGGGCTCCTCTGCAGGAGAGGATTCAGGTGCAAGACACCCACTTGTCCCAGGACTCCGTTCGTGTGCCGAGGAGGCAACCGGTTCTATGTCATGCCTTCTCAGCTCCCGGTGACGTTTCTCGATCGAGATGGCCAACCTGATGAGCTCCTCCAGCGAGCTAGGTTTCGGGCACAAGGCCAGCTGGTTCCTCACCCTGTCATTTAAAGCCTTGGTGAAGGCTCCAATAAGTGCGTTCTCATTCCATGTTGTCCAGGCTGCCAAAATACGGAACTCCACCACCAGATCTGTCACAGTCTTTCTTCCCTGAGTGAGTGTCCACAGTCTCTTTCGGACATCCGAGATGGACTCGTAACAACCAAAAGTGAGTTTAAAATCAGACAAAAATGCACTAAAGGGTCCATGTAAAAACGAGTCATCATGGCTCTTTGCCTCTGCCCATCTAAGTGCTCTTCCTCGCAAATTGGCTGGGGTGAGTTGTTCCATTAACAAGGGAAGGGTTTGTTCCTGTTGGGTTAATCTTTGAGAAATATTAGACAATACTGATTCTGCGGGGTTAGTGTTGTGGCTGGAAGATTCTGTCATGTTCTGGGGCAAATGCCTAATCCAAGACATGCAGAATCAGGAGACAGAGACAAGTTAAAGGAAAAAATAATAATCTTTATTAAAACGGAGAACAAAGGGCACACTGGAAGTCCAGCGGATGGGGAAACAGGAAGCGGCATCTAGAGGGAAAGCAACAGAGGTGAGTATTGGGAGTTTTAGTCTGGCTTATTGATATTTATAATGCTGCTAGAAATGTAGCTACAGTTGTGAAGTTTGAGTGTTATTTTATGTTACCTAATATTTACTTTACTTCATGCCATTCTCTGAACCAGAGCCTGGCAGACCTGTCTGGGACCACAGGTTTAATTATTTAATAATTAATTTTAAAAAAATCCAATCTGTTTTAAAAAAAAATTTACATTTAAGATGCATTTTTCCAAACTTTAATAATAAATACAAAATACAAACCATGACATCTCATGGGGCTTAAAGGAGATGTACAGTTGGATGGCATCTGCCTTGTGAGTCAATCTCTGTGAGGATAAAAGGCCTTCCGCTTGAAATGAAATGGGATTTCCGCCCCTGGCTCTATGGTCTTATTGCTTATTATTTATTTGTTATAGTTTCATGCTTTTATTTTACCTTAATGTTGCTTTTACATTGCTTTATGTGTATTTGCATTATGTACAGCACATTAGCTTCCTTGGGGCAGGAAGAGGCTTCATTTAAAAAAATATCACTGAAAAAAAATAACTAAAGTCATTTTTTCAGTAGAATACAATGCATCAATTTATCAATGATTGCATCATTTTATACATTTGAGGGCAGTGCAAATCAAAAGATGCAAGCTACTGGATAGATGTAGAAAGGCTTTTATTGTTGTATTTAAGTTCAAGGCCACCACGATAGCACCATGCATCTTCGTTAGTGAAACAGTTATCAGTTAAGAACCATGTCAGTGTGTTTAGTTTTGCAACCGTGCACAGGATAAAGGTCTGCCTACTGTTTGATTTGCAGGTTAATGTCAAGCTTCATCAAGGTCGTCCGCAGCAATGCTAAACTACAGTTTTTCAGTCTCAATAAAAATAGGACAGGAGTCAATCAGTCTCTGTGGACACTTTATTGTCTTTTGTCCTAAAGATAATGTTTAAATGAACATGGATCTTTTTAGGACTCTATGATTAACATTAACCCTTTGATGCATAATGGTCACTACAGTGGACAGGTACTCAAAATTGTTATTTATTTATTTTTGCTATTAAGCACAGCTGTTGAAGACTTTATTGCATGTGAGCCCTTCCATTTGGACTTCAGCAAGTCAAGCCAACATATTTCATGCTCAGAATGCATGCTGTCCACTGAGGTGGACATGTAATAAATTATTTGTAAATTAACAAAATGTTACAAAAAATATTTGTTGAAATTTGTTTCATTCACACCTAAAGATGAATGAAAAAAATTGTTTAAAAAATCATGGTTGAAGATTTCATAATTCATGCATCAAAGGGTTAAGTTAAAAATGTGATCTCATTGATGCTTTGAGTTTCAGAATAAGCTTGGCTGGAAATCTGTTATTTTGCTCAAAGGAGGAGCAACGTTTTTTTTTTTTATTGTGCTGCAAGTGGACCTTGACTCCACTCACTGTGTAGATACCAAAGAGATCAGTCATGGAGCTGCTGCTGCTGATACTCTCCAGCGTTTTCATAGCTCTGATAGGAGCACTGTACCTTCTCGGGGTTTTCCGCAAGCGACAACCAGGAGAACCCCCTCTGGACAAAGGCCTCATTCCTTGGCTGGGCCATGTTCTAGAATTTCGCAAGAACACTTCCAAGTTCCTGGAGAGGATGAGGGAAAAACATGGAGACGTTTTCACTGTTCAGCTAGCAGGATTTTATTTTACTTTCCTCCAGGAACCTCTGTCTTTTGGGGCTTTTGTTAAGGAGAGTCGAGAAAAACTCGACTTCAATAGTTTTGCTGCACACCTAGTCCAGAGAGTATTCGGTTACAAGACCATTGAAGGCGATCATCATATTCTTCAGCTGTCCAGCAATAAACATCTGAAAGGAGAAGGTCTGGATGTTATGACACAAGCCATGATGATTAATCTGCAGAACCTGCTGTTGCACAGCATTGGATCAGTTGCGGATACAAGAGGCTGGAAGGAAGACGGACTGTTCATGTACAGCTACAACATTGTTTTCAGGGCTGGCTATTTGGCTTTGTTTGGAAATGTGTCTCACAAGTCAGAGGGAAGTGAGCAGAAAGCCAAGGAAAAAGACAGAGCTGAATCTGAGGCTTTGTTTTACGAGTTTCGCAAATACGACCAACTTTTCCCCAACCTGGCCTACGGTGTCCTTCCACCAAGGGAAAAGTGGGAAGCAGACAGGTTACAGTCCTACTTCTGGGATGCTGTGTCGACACAGAAGATGAAGGACAAGGAAAACGTCAGCCGCTGGGTGTGGGACATACAAATATCTAAAGAGGAGCTCGGCATGAAGGAGTCGATGGTCAACAAGTACATGTTTGTGCTTCTCTGGGCCTCTCAGGGAAACACAGGACCTTCTTCCTTCTGGCTTCTCCTCTTCCTCATGAAACACCCAGAGGCCATGGCAGCAGTGAGACAAGAGGTCGATAAAGTTTTGAGGGAGACTGGGCAGGAAGTCAGACCTGGAGGCCCCTTAATAAACCTGACTCGTGAAATGCTCACAAATGCACCAGTGCTGGATAGCGCCGTGGAGGAGACTCTCCGACTCACAGCTGCACCTCTCCTCATCAGGGCTGTGCTCCAGGACATGACTCTCAAGATGGCAGATGGGCGCAAATTCTTCATCCGCAAGGGCGACAGAATGGCAATCTTTCCTTACAACGCTGTTCATCTTGACCCAGAGATCCACCCCGACCCTCATTTGTTCAAATACGACCGCTTTCTGAACCCGGACGGCAGCAAGAAAACAACGTTTTACAAAGCAGGGAAGAAGGTGAAGTACTACAACATGCCCTGGGGTGCCGGAGTCTCCATGTGTCCTGGGAGATTTTTTGCCACGAATGAGCTGAAACAGTTTGTTTTCCTCATGTTGGTCTATTTCGAGTTTGAGCTGCTGAATCCAGATGAAAAGATCCCTGAAATCGACACGAGGCGGTGGGGCTTTGGATCGATGCAGCCCGTCAGAGATGTCCAGTTTCGATACAGACTCAGATATTAAACAGCTCAGAAAATAAAAACCAAACAAGATAGTCTCAGCAAACTTTGATTTCTTTCTTTAAATTTGCATGAACATATTGTCATACACGTGTTAGAACGACCACATTATTGATGTAAAACGTTGTTTTAAAAGACCTGAACCTGTTTCGCTCTTATATTCAATGAAATGGCTTTTATCAACTTGTGAAACATAAGAAAATGTTAGCTTTTTGGGATTGTTTCTGGTCTTCTATTAACTTTCCTCATTGCTCTCAGTGACTAATCTACACTTTGATTTGAATTCCTCTTGTGACTTGTGGACGAGGACTGTTATTGCGCCAACCAATCTCGCCATCATTGATGATGATGAACAGGAGGAAGATGACAATGAGTCAGATCCTCAAAAATGAAATATAATAATAATCTATATTTGATCAGAAATAGTATCTACTGTTCAATAACTTTTCAAAGATATTCCACAGTAATCTGTTTTTATTAAAATATATTATAATGTTTAATAATTGAGAAATATATTCTATGTTTTTGAAGTGATAAAATGTTCTAAAATTAGCCAGATTATTTTATAGTGTCTTATAAATATCTGTATCATTCAATAATAATGTTTACTTAACTTGTTCGTGTGTTTTTATTTTGGGATTTCTTAACAGGGCCGATGTCCATATTTGATCATTTCATTTTCTCTGATTTTCTGCATGAAAATAAACATTTTTGACAATTGTAACGACAGAAATACACTTTGGTTATTTACCACAATGACACACTGGGGTTGAAATTTAAAAAATTAAAATACTTCAATGAGAGCCCTATAAAGGGATAAAACCTTAACATGGTTGAGGAATATTTCCATGATTTTAAGGAAAAACAACATAATCACTGGTTGTAGAGACATTTTCATCATTCTGTGAGGCAATTTTCATATAATCTACAGTTTATTTTACACGCAAAGGAAATTAAAAGTAAAAAGATAAAAATTAAAAACTCATTGAGCCAATAATTTTTATGACGATATTCTGAAATTTAAGTGACAAGTTATCGTATTTCACACTTTTCAAAACAGGAAATGAGTCAGTCTTCATTTAGGGAGTTCAGCTCATCCTCTTGGTGCATTTGCTAAATCACGTGTGACGCATTTGGAGGAGTTCTCAGGAAAAAAAACCTAATAACATGAACGTTGAACTTCTGTTTGCATGTTAACAAAAGAAATCAAAGATTCAAACGTGGATTTTTCAAAACAGAACACAACATACTTCACAAAACCAAAGACATGCCAGATAGCTGAAAACATGGTTAGGCTTGATGATAGACCAATGAGGCTTTAGGCTTGTTTTTCACCCATGTGACTTGATTTATTTTTAGTCAATGAGCTGAAATTGGATTCAGCTGTTTTCCAAGAAACTATGAAGTTAGATTTGAGACATGTGTCAAATGAGGCTGGACCACATTTGGTTCTTATTAAATAATAACAGCTCCTACCATTGCAGTGACTTTACAGAAGGGATAGTAAAGAGAAGAAATGAGGTCCGAACCAGTTGGACTGAAGTCGGGATCAGTTCCAGTAGTCTCCTGTGTCTCTGGTGTCTTGTCTTCCTTGTTTGTTATTGATTGAACTCACCTGCCCCTGGTTACCTTACCCACCTGTTTTACAGATTACCCTCATGTATTTAAACCCTCTGTTTCTGCTGATCTCTGTCAGATCCTCATCTTGTCTTCCCATCAGGTCGTCCCACCTGCCATTATTCAAATAAATCAGTTCATTTTACTGGCATCTTGCTTCCTGTGACTGCTCTCACCTGCATTTGGGTCCAAACAACAACTCCACAACATGACTGACATGACATGACAGTTAAGAGCAATGTTGAGCCAAGTAAAGGGCAACAAGTATGGTAAACATCTATCATGTGCACATTACTGACCTTTGAACTAGAAGTGACCAGAGTTCATTTAAATTAAATAAACATATTTTAAAGCTTTTTGTAAAGGAGATTAAAAAGGAATAGTAAAAATTATGTGATACATTTTGCCATTTTTAGAACAGGTGTGGGACATTTTAGGGTTCTTGGAGGCACCAAGTTGGTGACCCCTGACCCCTGTGCCACCGGGTCTTGATCTGGTCTCATGCCTCAGCCTTTATTACCTGATAAGTAAAAAAATAAAAAAAGGCTCAACATGTGTGTTTCAAACACCAAAATGAGAAGGTACTGTTATCAGCTGGAGATAATTTCCATGAACCAGCCTTTCACACGGGGCTCAAGAATAAATTAATTTTTATTTTACGAAAACTGAAAAGTGTGGTTTTTGTACTTTTCAACACAAAATGTTAGTTTGATCATTCTGGAGCTTTTTTTTTCATAGTCGGTACATGGACGGTTCCTTTTAGACCCGTAAAACCAGGGCTTAATTTGAACCGGATCTTGTTATGTGGACATGTGTTCCCCCCTCGAGATCTGTTTCTTTGCACCCAGCTGCAAGTGGAAACGACCCAAACACAAAAAAAAAAAAACCTCACCCTAACCCTTACCCTAACCGTAACCACCCAGTCACCAAAAATGTATGTTTTGCATAAATATACATTTAGAAAATATTACGTGTAGCAAAATTTTTATGTTTGTTTCAGGGTCATGGATAGGGTAAGGGTTAGGACACACATTTTTGGCGAGTGGATGGTTCTAACTCGCAGCTGGGTGCAAAAGAAACAGATCTCGGGGGGGGGGACATATTGACCTAACACCGGCGTTCCGGGAACATTCATTTACAAATTAAGCACTGCGTAAAACATAAAAGACCTCTAAATGTGCAGGACACAGAACTCATAAAAATGTACGTCATTAACAAGATGCGGAGTTTATTGAATAACTAAAGCAACAAGTTAAAAGGGACAAAATGTCCAAGCAAAGTGATAAAGTTTTAGTCTGTGATTGTTACTGAGCTTTGATGCTTGGCCAGAAAAACATGAAAGGCACAAAAATACAATGTGTATTAAAATAAATAATTTCTTTACCAAATAAAGGGTATTTACAGCCATGTGTTGTGCTTTTGTGATAAACATGGTTGTAACAGCGACAATAAATGAGTGTTAAAAAATTGTGGTCATGTAGCCGGATATGCAGAAGAACAATGGAGCCTTTACTGGTGTGCTGGTCTTCTGAGAGCTCTGCCTGTACTTGGTGGAGAGGGGTTTTGATGAAAAAATGACCCATTGTCTCTCATCCTGAGCTCTAAGTCAGAACAGTGAGAAGATTCCTCTGGCTGTTCAACCGTATTTTTAAAAAAAGCACCTTTTGCATCCATATGGACAGGTAGGTGCAGTCTTTTATTGTTCCTCCATCTGATGCTATATTTGAATAACCTGTAATATTTAAGTGTTTAGATCAAGTGTTAATAAACACTGATGCAGGCTCATTATTCAACACAAATGAAAACATTTAAACCTGAAAGAACATGTCAAAGTTCAAGTCACTGAACAGACATACCAGTGGAAAAAGCCCGTTTCAGGAGGTTTTCTTGGAAGCCAAAATGTAAAAACATGCTATAACAAAATTAGTAACAGATTATTAGCAATGATCTACAAAATAACCAGTGTCTATAAACCATGTATGAACCTTAAAACATAACTTTAGGCTCAGATATTTTAAACTAAATAAACAAACATAAAGCATGTTAACACTCTGTAACAGATTTATTACTTTGGGAGTTAAAACCTGCCTTTACTGGATTGTACTGTTTGCTGGGCTGAATGAGTAACGACATCAGGACCATTCAGTCAACAGCACCAAGGTCCATGCGATCAGATCTACAATCACAGAACAGCTCATTTTAGCCCTAACTGCATGAAATGATTAAAAGTATACACCTTTAAACTTTACAAATAATGTACATATAAGATTGGGCTGCACAGTGGTGGGTTTTCTATGTGGGAGACACTAAATTGTCCCTAAATGTGAGTAAGTGTGCAGATGGTTGTTTGTCTATATGGGGCCCTGTGATGGACTAGTGACCTGTCCAACATGTCCCCCTGCCTCTCACCCAAAGACTGCTGGAGTTATTTGTTCCACACAAACAATCAAAATAATGAGAGAGAATGAGTAAATGGCAGGTTTATTAACTAAAGGTCATTTAAATTCACTGGTCAAAAGTAACCTTATGGACTCCCAGTATTTTTTTCTTCTTTCCCCCTAAATAGTGAGGCTGCTTGATTCACCTTTGTGTCAGACCTTCTCAGAAACCCAAACAATATGCAACTGCACGTCTGCAGGCTCAAACAGGTCTGTTATCATTTTGGATTTGGTTGCCATCTAGTGGATGGACAGAAAGTACATCAAAGTGGAAAAGCTACAAGTAAAAGCAGGTTTTCAGATTGTCATGTTCTGTGTCCCTTTGTTCCCACTCCAGGCTCTCCTCTTGTGTCCTCCTAGTCACTCCTTGGTTTCCCTAGTTGTCTTTAGATTAGTTCTCCTCACCCATCTGGTTATTTTGCCCTATGACTTTTAGGTTTAGTTAGATCCATGTTTTATAGGTTAATGTTTATCTGCCCTCCTGCCAAGCTCTTTCCCTTCCCATTTAGTTAATTGATTCCACCAGTTTCTCCTCAGCTCACACTCCTCACACCTGCCACTTGTTTCCCTGATTACCTCCCTCCTGTTTATAAGCCTTGTCTTGTCACTCTGTGTTTGTTGTAAATTAATGTCTACCAAGAGTCGAATAGATGTATTATGTGAAATATATGAGACCATATTTAGATTAAGGAAATTGGGTACTGAAGTTAAATTTTTATGGGTACCGGCACATAGAGGAGTAGAAGGAAATGAAATGGCAGATTATTTTGCAAAAAAGGCAATAAGAGAGAGAAAAATAATAAATATTGCATATAGTGCCAGTGAAATTAAATCTATCATTAAAGCACATTTAATGGAAGAGTGGCAAAGAATGTGGGAAAGGGAAGAGAAAGGAAGACATTTATTTCAGATACAAGGGAAAGTAGGAAAATGGAAAAATATAAGAATGAATAGTAGAGATCAAAGAATAATATCAAGATTAAGAATGGGACATACTGGGCTTAATAATACGATGCATCTGATAGGGAAACATCCCACAGGTTTATGTGGGGTGAGGGGAGAAACAGTGGAACATGTTTTATGTGACTGCATAAAATATGAGGAAAGTAGAGGACAACTCAGGGAGAAATTAAAAACATAGGAGGTGGAGTGATAAGTGTAAAGAATTTGTTAAATGGTGAAGAAAGGAAATATAAGTTGGTTGTTGGGTATCTAAAATACAGTGGTTTGTTGAATACAATTTATTATTTTTTATTTTATATTTTTTAGTTTTTTTTTTCTATGCTCTTACTCCGACTCACACTCCAGCACAGTAGGTGGCGGAAATGCACCTAGCAGTTAGTTGCCACCCGCCAATAAACACGAAGAAGAAGAAGTCTGTGCTTGTTGGATCATTGCATTCGTCAGCGTGTTTCTGTCCTCCTCGTGTCTTCCTGTCCAGTTCTCATGAATGAGTTTTCTGTTTGTTTTCAGTTAGGTTGAGTTTGGTTCGTTTATTTTTTATTTATTTATTTATTTATTTATTGAGAACCTCATTAGCTCACACCATAGTGTGGAGCTATTCTTCCTGAGGTCTCTTTCAATTTCATTACAAATATTTAACAAAACACCCCCATCCCCATTTTAATGCCCTTTTGGTTTTGGCACCTCGTCCTTTAAAATAAAAGAT